TGTGTGCTACATATATCTAAGTGAGTACTATTATTACTTTTATTATTATTCCCTGCCATTATTAGTGGAATATAGGGGTTCTTAAGCTCACCTTCACCATCAACGGGAGGGAATTGAAAGAGGTTACTTCATTCACTTATCTAGGGAGCATTGTCTCAACTACAGGCAGTTGGAACGGACGACGATGTCAAATAGAGAATCGGGAATCAAGGTGAGAAACACATTCATCAACCTGAAACCAATCTGGAAATATTCGTCACTCAACTCAGTATCAACAACAAAATTCCGATTTTCAATACAAACGTCAAGTCAGTCAGTTCTTCCATACAGATCAGAAACTTGGCGGTGGGTCACCAAGAATATTTCCAACAGCCTGTTGCAGACCTTTATCAACAACTTTCTTCGCTCTATACTAAAGATCAGATGGCCAGAAAGAATCACTAACAAGAAACTATGGGAACAAAGAAAACAAGAACCAGTCGCTCAACAAATATGCAGGAGAAAATGGAGATGGATTGGACACTCGCTGAGGAGGCCGCTGGGTGACATCGCGCGTCAGGCCAGTACTCGAGTGGAACTCGAAAGGGAAGCGGCGAGTGGGACGTCGGTGCAAGGGTGACATGGAGGAGATCGTGTGATGAGGAGCTGAAACAGTATGGACTAACATGGATGCAGGTGAAAAGTACAGCAGAAGACAGAAGCAAGTGGAGACGTGCAGTTGAAGCCCTATGTTCCATTTGGAACCCAAGGGAACAATAATAATAATAATAAGCTCACCTTCATGTCATCTTGTTGCGTGCTGTCCTCTTAATCTGGATTGACGTTTACCTGTAATGTCTCATCTGCTATTCACAGGATCTCTTCCATATCACATTCAGTCACTCAACCCATTGATTCTCATTCATGTTCCACTTGAGTGACGTTCTGTTTTCGATCTTCACAGTGGATGAAATGTTTATGTGAACTGTCAACCTCTTAACTCGTCTCTATCATCAGGATAACTGATGTCAACAAGTGAAGTCGTGGAATGTGGTGACCACTTCACTTCACCAAAACGAATTCGCTTCACTACCAGTAAATTCGTTCATTAAACCTCTTCACACATAAAAGTAGATTATTTAGCATTCATGGATCATTTAACGATATTTAGGAGAGAGGGGCGATGGATCATGCAGTCTCCGGGTGTATACTATCGATTTGGTTATCAATATTATTATCATTATTCTCTTGGGTTCTGAGTGGAATATGGAGAGCTTCACGAGTACATTTTCATTTCACTCTGTTCTTCGAAGTCCCTTTTAGCTGATTCCACGTCTGTTCATAGATTTTCCTTTCCTCTGTACATGTTCTCTTCTGTGTCACCCTCCGATTCAGTTCCGACTGGTTGTTTCCCATTAGACTTGCTGATGTGTGGTGTCACCTAACTGTCTCCTCAGTGTATGGTCAGGGAATGTCCAACTCATCTCTACTTCCTTATGCATATTCGTGAGACGACAGATGATTGACTGGTTCTGGGATGCCATTCAGATACAGTCGAAATTAGCAAGATGCAAATAGGAGGGGGATATAAATAACTCTGATTTCATTTAATTAGCTCGAGTAGAGATACTTTTTTAAATGCGTTGCATTCCAATCATTAATACGCCCTACTTTATTTGTATTTAGCAGTTTTTTCTTTGTTTATTCACGCAATTATGTAATCTGATGATTTCAACATAGAAAGTATATAATTAACCAAACATGTGAGCAGAATTATTGATTACATAATTCAACTTTCTGACTTTCTCTATCATATTACATTTCGATCTTGTTTAAACTTATAGATTACCTGTCTGTATTGAAGTACATTTAGGCTTAATGTTTCACAAAACGCATAAATCAATGTCAGTCAAATAACAACTAGAAACTGATGTGAGAAAAGTACTCCACTACTTTACTTATTCTAGCTGGTGTTCCTTCCTCAATCAGTGCTCTCCTAACTCCATTTCCTGTTTTCTTTCTGCTTACATGACTTCCTCCATTCTGACGAAGTTAACGATCTGACTGTTTCCATGGCGGTGGTTACTTCTCAGTCAGACCGTTCTAAAATGAATAAATTTTTCCAACGAATTTATTATCAAGTTGTACAATCGTATATGTGTATGGTATTTTAAGAAGTTATATCCGGTGACGGAATCGAATCATAGGTGTAAATACATTCAGTAATCATAATAGTAGTATGAAATATTTATGATTATAATCATAGTTAAATGTCAAGTAGCAAAACAATTAATGTCACTACGTACCCGACTCATCGGTAGTGCTGAAGCTTTGCCTATCGAAACAGAAAAGCCAGAGCTCTGTGTACGGAAAAATTTTGTTCAGCTGCCCTCCAACTTTCATGGTCTTAATCCCTCTATTCTAAAGTATGATAATCCCTAATCATATTTTGGCTCTACCACTTATTTTCATTTTGTCAATTTAATTTGTGTACTCTTCCTTCATTGCGTCAATTGTTACTATTACTTTTCTCACTTTGAAATGTCCCCGGTATTATTTCACTTGTTCCACTTGTCATTCCAAATCAATTCTGTTTTGCAACGTTAAATTCTATGTTATCGAAATTTCACACAATATTACGTAACGTTTTTATTTCTATTCGATTTGTCTACTAATCCTATAACTGCACACGCTTTCCAAGTTCTATCCATCCTATTAATTATTCTACATATGACATTAATTGTTTAGCCACTTCACATTTAACGATGATTATAATCACAAACATTTTAGTTTTAGCAATTTGAGTTTTAGCAATTTTAGTTTTAATTGCATTTTATACTACTATTATAATTATTTTATGCATTCGCACCTATGATTAAGACCATGAAATTTGGAGGGGTTGAACAAGTTTTTTCTGTACACAGAGCTCTGGCTTTTCTGTTTCGATATCCAAAGCTTCGGCAATACAGATGAGTCGGGTACGTAGTGATTTGGGTAAATTACTCTTTGTCTTGTAGATGACTTTAAAGGCGGAGGCTATAAAGATAGAGTGATCATTATCGACCAAATGTTCAATGATCGCGCTTCTTATAACTTCACTTCCACCTCTTCATAACCATGCAGGGTTTAGTGTTCTTGCACTCTCTTGGAATAAACTCGAGTCAAACGACCGATATACCTAGCTGCACACGAGCAGGTGACATTTCACTATGATTATAATCACAAATACTTTATTTGCATTTCATACTACTATTATTATTATTTTATGCATTCACACCTATGATTCGATTCCCTCACTGGATATAACTTCTTAAAAACTCCATATATACGACTGTACAGCTTGAAAAAAAATTCGTTGAATTGAGTCTCTTCTCTGAATCACTTGTTTTAATCTTTTATATGTTACAGTGGGAATTTTTAATGAAATAAAGAATAACTTTTTATCCAAAATTAGCCACAGTTGACCTTTTCAGATGGTATTAAGTTAAATTCCTCCAAAATGTCAGTCACATGCAAGCATGATCTACACGAACTGGTTACTTCGCATGGTTTCACTACCATAGGTAATGCAGAGGTTGAAACTAAATAGAATGTTAAATACCTTGCATTGTGTGTTTCCTCCAGTCACCTTTCCCCGTCTTCCCGCATCATGTTCGTTTCTACAAATATATTTCAGCTAATCTGGTATCACTCAGCAAGTCTCTACCTTCGAAGTTTATTAATTTTTGTATTCCACCTATACTTCTTTACTGTTCCTCCTTAGTCATTCCCGGGCTACCTAAGTTGGGTGTTGCTAAACCAACTGCTGTAGATAGACACATGGATTTCTGCAACAAATCAGAGCATATTATCTTGTCAGACTCTGAGCATCTCTTCTATTCACAACTCTATCTTTGCTGCGTCTTATCAGGTAGGTACGACTAGAAGCAACTATTATTTGTTTTATTTATTATTCTATTGCGTTCCAAGTGGAACATTTGCCTTCAACAAGACACCTCTACTTTCTTCTGTTTTCTGACGTCCTCTTCAGCTGCACCCGCGATTGGCCAAACTCTGTCATCTCTTCCTCAGACGATCTCCTCCATGTCATTCTCGCATCGACGACCCACTCGTCGCTTCGCATTTCAATTCCACTCGAGCACTGGCGTGGTGTGCGATGTCATTCGGCGGCCCTATCAATGTATCCCCTAAATATATGTTGAGCGATAGACTCTTGCTTGTTGGTTTGTTCCCATACTTTCTTGTTGCTTATTCTTTCTGGCTAGCCATTTGATCTTCAGTATGGAGCTATCGAAGGTGGCAGCTGTTGATAAAAGACTGCAACCTTTTGGAAGTCCTTTTCGTGACACGCAGTGCACCTTTCTAACCCGTATAGAAGAAGCGACTTCACATTGGTGTTGAAAATGAGAATCGTGTTTCTTACGCTGATTGAAGTGGAAGATTTGATGAAGGCGTATCTTGCCTTTCTGATTCTGACTGGCTTTGACATGTTCATCCGTTCCGCTCGCCTGTGGTTGAAACCGTGATTCGCTGAAGTCCGTTCGTATTAATTCCACTAGCGTAGATGTTTGATGAAACTGAACAGAAATGGGGATACTGGACATCTCTCATGACGGACACCGGTGGTTGTCATCACAGTTATCAGATAACAACTCTCCGTAAGCTCTCACCTAGCTGGCTGCATGAGTTCGAGTAGAGTGAGTGCCTTGATCAGTGCAATGCATTTTCACGGTATTGCCTTTACAGCTAAAACATCGCCAAAGTACCTCTCGGTCAACGGAATCGAATGCCGCTTTCAGGTAGTTCAAGAAATATGACGATTGTTGGACGCCGCCGGTAAGTATGCCTATATTCCAGAATCTGTCGAAGAGTGAAGATATAATCAATACACCCTCTTCCCGGCCATGAAGACTCCCAAACTAGGACAAAACATCTTCCCACTCAAAGCTTCCTGATTTTCAATAATCCCCCCCACCAACTGATAGGTCATTTCATAACCAAAAAGGAAAAAAATCAACAAGTACAAAAAAGAAATTTCATTAATTTAAATTGTTCATCTTTCTTTTATCAACGACACGAGAGAAAAAGAAACGGTAGAGAAGTGAAGTCAATCAAAAAATAAATAAATAAATAATAATAACGACTTATCAATAACCCTTCAAACCGGCAGCAATCACAATTCCTTCATTCAGTCTCCCCCCTTCCGCATACCACACACACACGTACACGCACACACTCACTCTATTCCAGAATAACACTACAGAAGAGCTGAAACAAAACAAATGTTTGCAAATATACGATTAAATGATACAATCTCTGTTGAATTAAAATTTCTCACCTCACCTAAGAGTAGCAAAAATTTTAAAAATGTCACCCATCTCCTAAACGAATACAGATTATTATAATTCACACAGACATTGAAACACTGAACACTCTACTGATATTCTTCCACAAGTAGTACTCATTTTTATCAAGTAATAATAATAATAATAGTTACATTAACAATAAAGAATCTGTATTAACGTTTTACAATACAATTTAGTTTCTGAAAGGCTGAATTGATAATGGAGAAACACAGTAGACACATCATATCCTTGAGAGAGGCAATAAAATAAATAGATAGACAGACAGACAGGTGGATAGACAAACAGACAATCCAATTAAACAAGGTCAAACCAACAAGTATGTATATATATTCACAACAATCTGTACACAAATTTTATAAATAATACAAAATTGTACACTGCTTGACATACACGCTACTGACTGATTAACCGATATGAGTAGTATTGTGAAAATTGTGAAGAAAGCCATCAGAAAAAAGAAACATGAATTAAAAACCGTTCTCTCTCTCCCTCCACCCTTTATCGATAAAGAAACAACAACAGCAACAAATGGAGATACAAAAGAAATGGGGAGAAAGACATTTAAAATCAATATTGGAAACAAAGCAGAACAGTTACTCTGGTCATTTGAATTGATTCCCATGAAGAAAACTTTAGTTACATAAGGATGAATATATATCATTGTTAAAGAAAATTTATATGAAAGACAGATAGATAGAATGACAAAAATTAAACCGTGGCGTAAAAAGGCATTAATAATCAGCTGGTTGACATTAGTCAAATAAAATCCACCAATCAGATAACGTGTCAACTGTCTACAAGTGTGTAGGCGTTACACTTAAGTGTTTTTTGATTGGTTGCTTCTAAATATTCTGACATGAGCGTGAATCAGCTGATTATTATCATTAATACCTTTAATTAGCCATTGGTCAAAGGCGGTTCTTCTAATTTTGCTTAATTCAATATTGTTTTAGTATTTTTCCTCCCTCCCGCTCACAACTATATTACATACAACATATAAGGAGTGATAGATATTTTTCCTATTGTATGATTTTCTTTATGTCATTATAAAGTGTATGAGAAGTGAAAATAAGAGTTTAACAAAGTCAATTATAGGTAGGGGGGTTGAGGATGTAGGAATCGATCGTTTGTTTGTATGTTTGTTTGTTTGTTTTTTAAGCGAAGAATACAACAAATATCACAAAGAATACAATTAAAACAAAAAACACTTTAATCATAAGCCATCGACTTGAGCTAATAGAACGGAAGTAACGAATTAACTCTGAATGACCAGCTTCAACTGACACGGCGGCTTCATCAACATTTGCGTCAATACGACGTATGGATTCGTCTTGTTCATGTACCTAATAAAATTAAAAATATTATATTAATAAAAAATTTTGAAGTATAATTGTCCAGTGTGCAACTGACAAGACTTATCAGTAGTATATAAGAGATCAAAATATTAAATGGCAGAGAGAGTGAGAGATTTGACGTCAAAAGGCGAAGAAATGAACCAGTTTATTGAGGTAAAACATGGGAGACACGAGAAGAAGACAAAGAAACACAATACGAAGCACTGAAGTGGCACAACGCGGCGGGAGATCAGTGTAAATGACGACCTTAATATATATGGTATACATAATTCCCCTGTATATACAAATCAAATTGCAAACAAACATTTCATTAGCAAGTCCCTTGTCTCCTCCTATTGCAGTGAAGATTCTAAGGCCTACTGCTTTCGAAAAAGGATACTTACGCTGCTTCTTGTGGAACTTCAGTGCTATCACTGAATTACTGGGTGCCAAGGATCCGACGGTGAAGCCACACGCTGCTGAGGGGTCGGGTAAAGCTAGCCTACACCAGCTTGGAGTGGACAGGTAGACAGACCGGCTGTAATTTTTTGTTGGAACAGGAGGCAGCAGAGTTTGTCCATCTGACCGGCAGGCGGTAGACAATGCAGCAGTTCCGTACCACGAAGCTAGGAACTGACTAAAACCTGTTAGTGTTGGCGTTGAAGCTGATGAATCTACTTCGTCGAGCACTCCACACATTGGATGAAGAGTCAGAGTCACAGTTATTGACATCCCATTTCATCAAGAGTGTTCTAAACCACATTTCTCAACAACTATATTTGGTTAACGCTTAACAATCCATGGATATTGGTGAGCTAGCAAACATGACTAGACAGCTGTCGAATACAACTGCAAACGCAATACAGTAACAAAAAATGGATCGGCGGGAACAAGGAATCGTACAATTGCAACAGGAAGTGGCGGCGCTAAGAATGAACTTCAGAAGAAACAAGTGCTTTGAATGTGGCAAAAAACGGGACACTGGAGGAAATACTGCCCGGAAAGACGGAAAACAAAAAGCCTTAAACAATAGAATGTGTGTTCTTTCTCTGTGGTAGCCTATCATACACACAATACACATTCCACCATAATCAAACCTAAGTCAGCTTAATAAATGGGTCATGTGACATCATTTTACTTTGGTATGGTTGTGTTCTCTGAGCAACACTAAGAAATGAACATACGAGCTATACATCCTCGTCATTATTTCAAAATCGTACACATCATCGCTGGAACAGGCGGTATGAACACCGTCTTATTTATCTTGTATTCTAATAAATTGGTACATGTTAAGTGGTTGGGGACGATTGACAGGAAGTTTTGAACTTAGGTTTCATGCCTGTAAGTGTGCATACGCAAGGCTTGAAAGAAATCATGTCCCTGCGGAGATTCAAATACATATCGACCAGAGGTGCAGTTAGTATATATACATAAACATATATAGAACTTCTATTCCGTAGGTGGTCCCCTGAGAATTCCGTAGTCATAATCTCAACCTACCATCTTCATGAACTTTCTCCTGGATAACTGACAAGTCACAACTACCGTATATATGACAACTATTGAAGTGTACTTGTTTGCTCAGAAATTTCGATCTGGTGGAGAATTAGGTTTTAAACTCGCTACCGCTATCGATCAAAAGTTTCTTCATTCACTTATCTAGAGAGCATTGTCTCAACTACAGGAGGAACGGACGAGGATGTCAAATCGAGAATCGGGAAGGCGAGAAACACATTCATCAACCTGAAACCAATCTGGAAATCTTCGTCACTCAACTCAGTATCAACAACAAAATTCCGATTTTCAATACAAACGTCAAGTCAGTCAGTTCTTCTATACAGATCAGAAACTTGGCGGCGGGTCTCAAAGAATATTTCTAACAGCCTGTTGCAGACCTTTATCAACAACTGTCTTCGCTGTATACTCAAGATCAGATGGCCGGAAAGAATCAACAACAAGAAACTATGGGAACAAGCAATCAAGAACCAATCGGTCAACAAATATGCAGGATAAAGTGGAGATGGATTAGACACTCGCTGAGGAGACCGTTGGGTGACATCGCGCGTCAGGCCATAGCTCGAGTGGAACCCGAAAGGGAAGCGGCGAGTGGGACGTCCAAGGGTGACATGGAGGAGATCGTGTGAAGAGGAGCTGAAACAGTATGGACTAACATGGAAGCAGGTGAAAAATACAGCAGAAGACAGAAACAAGTGGAGGCATGCAGTTGAATCCCTATGTTTCACTAGGAACCCAAGGGAACAATAATAATAATAATAACTGCGCAAACCAGGGAATTTTATTCTCAGACAACTTTATTGCTTTAAAATGTTATTCAGGTGCTGGCTTGCATGGATTTGATTATTTACAGGATTTCGTTGTGAGTTGACATCGGTTAGAGAACCATTGGAAGACCAGTAGGGAATATTGGAAAGGCAGCTGTCCCTTGCCCCCCCCCCCCCGCAGTTTGGAAATCTTCACCAGTACGCAGGCATCATCAGGGGGGTTCAAACCCAAGACCTGCCGGTTACAATGCGAGCTAGCTCGTGGACCATTAAGCCACTGGGAGATGATCCAATGGCCAGTCCACAAATTCCAACTTCTGCCAATTCACGAAAAAGGGTTACCATTAGCCAATGTCATCCGTGGTGAGTATTTATCGTGACATCCGACCTGCTGTACCCCCACTGGTCACAATTTCTCACTAGAATCCAGGCAATTACCTACCTGAATAGGTCAAGTTGCCAGTGAGCATCAGATTAAGTATTCAAGTATTGATTTGTAGGATTTTGATAGGTGCGTACCGATGAAGAGTCCCGAACTAGGAAGACAGGAACAGCTGTCCAGTAATCCCAGCTTGAAAACTTAAAGTAATGAATTTATGTCTCGGTAAGAACATTGTCAGTCACTCACTGAGAGGCACACAAATACATCTGAAAAATCCCATATAGAATAAAACATCAGTTGTATATTTCACTCCTAAACATCCACAAACGAAAAAAAATCAAAATTATAATTGCAATTATTACAAAACAATAATATATTTAACTAACCATAGTAGCTAATTGTTGAAAAATCTGTCCCAATTCAACAATTGTATGCTCAATACTTCGCATTGTATCTGCACGAGATGCTAAATAGGTATCCGTTTGATCTGAACTAACATATTTTTGAGCAAATCCCAAATTTGAATTCATTGGCAAGGTGGGTGGTACAAAACTGCCTAAACCATCTAATCCATCATTGCCTTGATTACCACTCAGTAAAGCTTCTCTGGCGCGTTCATCATCCTTTACAGATAATAAGGCAAAGTATAAGTGAGTAGTGAAGAAAAATATAATAAAAGTCAGTAATCGAATCAATTTACATTTCAGGCATAAAAGATCATCTAAACTTGCCATATTTCTTGGCTTGAAGGCAGCAGTTCACTTGGTCAACCGAGAGGTGGTGTGACAATGTCTCGTTGTGAAGGGAGTGCTAACAAAGTTTATTGCATTAATCAAAGCATTCTACTAAGACTGAAGTAGGTATGCTAGAGCTTACACCAAATTTTCATCCCAAGTGATGATAACGAGTGGTGATGTCCGTCAGTGATGCCCACCACTATCCCCATTTCTATTCAATTTCATCATAGATGTACTTACTAATAGACTTAACCTTAACTCACTTCAGTGACTCAGAGATTGACTTGTTACCATTAAGGAATAACCTCGTTGACTTAGAATATGCAGATGATATAGTCCTTCTAGGTAAAGACGCTGACAAAATACAGTCTTCTGAACACTTTGAGGAGCAGCAATCTTCTAATGTTTGACACGCGATCCGCTCCTGTCTAACGATCGCCTCCCTCGGTGGGAAATGTTAGCCAAAATAGGATCAGGTTGGAAAGGAGCTAGTGGTGGTCAAAATAAAACATGAGTTTATCAGTCAATGAAATCCATAACAGTTAGTTTAAGCCAGCCAACCAGTCACGTAGGGAGGTGTAGACTTCCTGACTGGCTGTTTAGAGTCCTCGGGATGGTAAGAACAAGCGAAGGCCTGAGACAGTTGGTGATACAGCTAAAAATCATCCTCAGTGAATTGTGCAGATGCATTCACTTACTCTTTGTGATTTTTCATATTCAATAAACCACTTTCTTTCTTACACATTACTATTCTTTTTTCCTCATTTAGTGTATATTTTTTCGATCACATGAAGAATAATGCGGATTTAATGGGTCTGAATCTGAGTATATATGTACTACTGAGAACAATTATGAGATATGCCACCAACAGTCTGCACAAACCGTTTATTCCTAGCATCATGCGTACCCTAAAAAGGTGGTCTCAACCACCCTGCCTAAGTGACTTAAAGCAATACTCAAAAAACTGGTAGATTAGTGCCACCTTTCACTTCGACCAAGCCTAACCTCCTTTACAACTTCTACTAGTCCTATTTGAACAGAAGATACAAGGCGAGGTTGAGAGTCCGACAATTCCCTGCATGAATTCAAATATGTCTGTCAACAACAGTTTTAACGAGTTGTCTTAGAGACACACCATCTCAAGTAATGGTTTGTAGGGATTTGATTGATTGGTTACACGATTTCATCATGAGTTGACATCAGTTAGAGAACCACTGGAAAACCAGCTAGGAGTACTGGACAGTTGTTTCGTCCCAGTTTGGGACTTTTCATCAGTATGCACCCACCACCAGGAGTTCGAACCCAGGACCTTCTTGTTACAAGGCAAGCTCGTATACCATTAAGCAACTATTCATTAAGTTATTCATTTTGGAATGATTGACTGACTAACTGGTTTCAGCAGGGAACTTTGCACAGAAATGCACTACATCAAGTTACCACACTCCATGTGTGGTGAGAGCTGGTTGCTAGCCAAAGTTGGTAGACAGTAATTGACGTCAATGTTTATGTCCCCAATATTGGTGGTGGGAAAATAAGAACAAAGGCTTTGCGTAGGCGGATACAGTTAGCATAAGGATGATCTGACACAGCCACAAAGAGATGCAAGGTTAACTTTCTGTGAGAAACAACCAGTCAAAAGACTGTATTTTCTGCTAACAATAATCTACAATAATGTACATTAAAATCTATAAATATGTGTTGATTTTCCTTAATAAAGGATCTGTTGCCTGGCCCTTGTCTTCTGTTGTTACACATGTAGCAAACAAACGAAGCCAAAAGAGAGGAGAAAGAGATTGAAAATAAGCATAAGTGCATAAGAAGCAGAGAGAATACTAACAAGGGAAAACATGACGGGATATTACAGTGAGTGAATGCATCTTCACCATTAAAAGCTATTTTCAGCCATATAACCGATGGTCTACAACTATTATTGGTTCTCAGAATCCCGAGAACCCCAGCCAAGCAGTCTATTTCATGGACTCATTCCACGTTCTGGTTTGATCACTCCTAATCCTTTTCCAGCTTAACTGAATGTCAGTTGACATTACCCTTCGAGGAAGACGACAGCTATGATAGGCACCAGTATTAAAAATAGTATATCATCATCCTTTCTCACGAATCTTGCGATTTGGAATTACTATATTAATCCGTCATTTCTCACACATACAGTGATTTATTGTGTGATCAATTCATCATCTTTTATCTCACCTTGATCTTTGTCGGATCACCAACCAATTAGAATAGCTATTGCTAGCCAATAAGAATAATCCGTTTCTACGGTGTGAGCCAACTTTATTGTGGTAAAGAATATGTATAAATATGATGTGTCGTTTCCTAGTAAAATATATATAGTGTCTTATATTCACAGACCGTCCTTTGTCTTTTGTGATATTTGCGTGGCTCAATGAAGCGGGAGGTACGACAGACGAATAGGCGTATTACCGTTATAACAATTAGCGGAGCAGATATTATGGTGAGAGTTGTCTGCACGCCACAGATTGTAGACAACAATTTACGTCAATGTTTACGTCCCGAATCAGGGTCATGAAAAAAACACAATAACAAAGCTTAATCTTGAGGAACTCAATAACCAATCACAGCAAATTTAACGCATGCAAATACGACTCGGTTGGTCACAAGCAGTACAGAATAACCTTCCAGCAAGAAAACAACCAATCAGAAGGCGTTGCTTCTCCACTGACAATAATGTACCTAAAAATCTATAAATATCTCTTGATTTTTTCAATAAATGATCTGTTGCCTGTCCCTTGTCTACTGTCGCTACAATATAACAGGCTGGGCATACATTACAGATAACCTGACCACTCAATGCCTTACCTCATTATTTCTCACTCTATTATACCACTTTACACGGGAGATAGAAGGCAAATACACCTATGATCAAAGACGGCTAGCCAGACTTTTCGTGTCTTTCACCTTCAACAGCTTTCTTATTTTAAAATAACCTGATTAGGAAGTAACCTGCACACTTAATAAAACTGATTTCATCAGAATGAAGAGAACCATATGTTAGAGGAGGAAAAGGAAGTGCAGTAAGGACAGCACTACCTCAGAAGATTCCAGTCTCAGTAAGCACGGAAGTTGCAGACCATCCTTTAGATACAGTGGAACGTGACAAAAAGTAACCTTGTTTCTATCTATCTATCTATCTACCAACACCTATCAACAATCAGAAAGTTCTCGGGAATAAGTAGAATTGTAACGAAAGGAGACAAGGGCCAGGCAGCAGCTCTTTTCTTGAGCAAATCAAGAGGTATTTATAGAGTTTTTTAAGTACATTATTATTAGCGTTATTATTAGCAGAGAAACAGCGTCTTCTGATTGGTTGTTTTTTGTCGCTGAAAGTTATTGTCATCTCTTTCTGGCCATTTCTTTGAAGGTCAGACCATATATCTGCAAATCGTATCCACCTACGCAAAGTCTGTTGTGATTGGTTGTTGAGTTAGTCTTTATTCTTATGGTTTTTGGGGGAGGTAAATATTGACGTAAACTGCTGTCTAACAATTTTTGGCTAGCAGACAGCTCTCACCACAGTATAGCCTTAATAACAATTTATTATAGCATGAAAAGAGACATAGTAACATATTTTAAATACAAAATAAATTCTTACTTTTAATAGGACTGATGGAATAATAACATGTGGTGATTTAGCTATTTGTGTATTAGTAGTATTATTGCTTAATGTTTCATCATCAATTGAACTGTATTTACTTTTACGTGCATTCTGTGATTTTATATCCTCTGAACGATATTCCAGTACACCACGAAATTGATCAGACATTTTAGCTAAACGTGTCTGTAGAACCATTAGAACAGAACGTGAATGAGTTGATTGTTGTTTTCCACTAGACCCCTATATAATATAATAAGTGAAAACAAAAGGAAAGAAAATTATGAAAAATTCCCATTCGAACATTAATAGACAGAAGACTAGTAGTTCAGCGAAGAGTCTCTTTTCAGCGGCAAATTCATTTTCATAGCTGTACAATCGCAAATATATATAAATATGGTTATTTGTATGTGTGTAAATTAAATTTGACAAACGAAAATACAATAGTAAGTTCAGATGAATTGGATATTGATGCTAATCTGCAGAAACTCAAAGGACAAGATCCCGCACCTGACCAATTCTATGTGTATACATCAATTCACCTGTTGCTGTGGAGCCAGGTACATCAGTCGTTCAACGCGTATCCTGTCAAAAAGGGTCAAAGAACACTATCCAGCGTGATTGCAGAAAGGAAGTAGTGGCTGTATAAGGAGTGCAATAATCGAACATCTCATCACCACTGGTCATTCCATCTCAGCAAACGCCTCCTTCAGAGTGATCTACAAAGTGAAGAACAACCTTCTAAAGACAATACGTTTCTGTCTTCTTTACCTTGCAGAAGCCCTAGCCATTCAGTTGGAAGAACCAGAACTAGGCATACAAAAGAAAATCATCCAACTACTTCTACTATCATGGTAACAACTCTGTTGATTTAACTTCACTTTTGCTCGTTTGCTTGTTTTTTCTAACTACTTAAAACTCTTACGTAATTCCGTGTGTTATTTTGTTTCCATGTACACCCTGACTGAGTACAACTCTTTCATCAAACTATTCATGTTATTATGTAACTCGTCTTTGACAATCGTTTGTGACAACTCATCACTTTTGTTACTGCCCTCTTATTTCAACATCCAATCCATCTGAACTTACTAATTGTATTTTCGTTTGACAAGTTTAATGTACACACACACATACAAATTAACTATATATATATATATATATATATATATATGCGATTGTACAGCTATGAAAATGAATTCGCAGAAAAGAGACTCTTCGCTGAAAGAAAATTAGTTTAACAAAACAATTAACAACACGATATATTGAAGTTTTGAAGAAGAAGGAGTGAAAATCAATTGATTATGGAATACAAGATTAGTTAATTCTTAGGGGTTGGAAACAAGTTGTTACACAATCAAGAAATTTATAAAATAATGATGCTTAAGTAGAATTAAGTAAGATACAAAAAAGTTATTAAAATTATTTAGAATTGTAATCATTATAAAAAAAACAATGTCAAAAGTTAGTTACAAGGGGAGGGGAAAAATCGCTTTTAAAAATCTAATGCACATTATGTAGTTGGCTATTTTTCTTTTGACTATTTCTGAGAAAAATGCCTCCTTAATTAGCTCTCAGCATAGACGCCTCGAACGCTGGAAAGAACACTTCGAGGAACAGTTTAACTTGCCTACAGCCACACTGAGCCTCCCCGCCATCCAGCACACACCCGAATGGGACATAGACACTGGCCCGCCGTCTGTAAGTGAGGTCACCAAAGCAATCTGTAATTTGAAACGAGGCAAAGCGGCAGGACCCGACGGAATTATTCCGGAGGTGTTTAAATATGAGGGTGACATGCTAGTATATAGTTTAACTAAGGTACTAGGTAACGTCTGGGAATCAGAGACGGTTCCATCAGACTGGGGTAAGTCACTTATTATACCAATATTCAAGAAGGGAGACAAGTCCTCATGTGATAATCATAGGGGGATCAGCCTGACGAACATAATCTCTAAAATCCTAGGCTCAGTAATCATGCATAGACTAAGTCGAACTCGGAAGGAACAAACGAGGGAAAATCAAGCAGGCTTTAGGCCAGGTAGAGGGTGCATAGATCATGTCTTCACTCGCCGACAGATCCTAGAACATAGACACACTATTAGGCGTCCAACAATTGCCATATTTCTTGACTTGAAGGCGGCCTTCGACTCCGTGGATCGCAAGGTACTATTCCTGTCTAACTTCATCAAAGATATGCCAATGGAAGTATCCTTAACTGAACTTAACGACTTAGGAATCGACTTGTTACCAGGGTATAGTCTTATGGACTTAGAATACGCAGATGACATAGTCCTGTTAGGGGAGGATGCTGACAAAATGCAGAGTCTTCTGAACACCTTGAGCAGCAATCTTCGTATGTATGGCATGCGATTCGCCGCTGTAAAATGTAAGATGCTGTTACAGGACTGGACTACGTCTACCCCTAGCTTAGTGATAGGGAGTGAAGTGATAGAACATGTTGACCACTTCACCTATTTAGGAAGTTGTATCAACACCAACGGATTGATTGGTGACGAAATCTCAGCACGCATCCAAAAACCTCGGGCTGCTTTCGCTAACTTGCACCGTCTCTGACGTAGGCGTGACATCCGACTACCAACCAAGAACCGTGTGTACTGCTCAGCAGTTCGCTCCATCCTTTTCTATGGCTCTGAAACATGGCCAATACGAGTTGAAGACATGAAAAGTTTGACTGCTTTTGATCATGGATGTCTACGATCTCTTTCTCGCGTTAGGTGGTATAATAAGGTAAGTAATGTTGACGTTCGGCGTAGTGTTGGGCAAAGAGGGAAAATCAATCGACGAGGCTATAAAGTTACATAGATTGACATGGCTAGGTCACGTGCTGCGCATGCCTAACCATCGCCTCCCCCGACGGGCACTACTAGCTGATATAGGTGCAGGTTGGAAAAGAGTAAGTGGTGGCCAAACAAAAACATGGCTTCATCAATCCATGAAATCCCTGACAGTTAAACTGAGTCAGGTAGGGAGATGCAGACTTCCGGGTTGGGGCCCTCGGGACTCTAAGAATCAATGGCTGGAGACAATACGTGACATGGCTCAAAATCGTTGTCAATGGCTTACGCAGATGTATTCAGTCTCTTTAATATTCAGTCTCATATTCCTTTCTACCATTACTCATTCTGTTTCACTCTTATACTTATCTAAATTCTATTGATTCTCTTCTCTCATTTTCCTGTTTACCTTTGTGTGCTATTTGGAACGTGGCAACTCAAACTGCTGCACTTCGGTGGCAAGTTCTATGTTGAATCCAGCAGCAGCAGCAGGTGGACCAGACATCTAACCATATTATACTTGTATTGTACAGGTATGAAGCTGAGGAAGTGAGTATATTGTTCAGTGGAAGTAGGTTTTCTATACAAACGTCTACATATTGTTCCATCTGTTCATCTAGTCATTAGGATGTCCAAAAAGGGGATAGAGTCATTTTCTTCTTCTACCTTAGTGAAGCTTATGCTGGGATGTGCTCTATTGAATTTATCCAATGTGCCTTTAGTCTCAATTTCATTCTTAAAAACTATAAATGTATCATCAAAATATCGGCAATAGAAAGATTCTATATTATATCTTTAAGAGGACCATGCCCTATTTTCACCAGGAAAAATCCACTATTGTAGAGCCCATGATGAGAAACTGACTGACTGATTGGTTTCAACGTAGAACTTTGCACCGATGTGCAGCAGTTCGAGTTACCACCCTCACTTCATGTAGCACACAAAGCAAGTGAAAACAGTAGAGAAAGATTCAAAACAGAGATAGTACACAGGAATATGAGGCAAAAAGAATGGTAATGTGGCAGAACAATAGAATTTTATTGGGTATTATAAATCACAAGGAGTGGCTGCATCAGCGCCAGTCATTGACAACGATTTTGAACCACATCACCAATTATTTCCAGTCGCCATTGGTTATTACCATCCTGAGGACCTCAACCAGACTGTCACGAAGTCTACACCTCCCTACGTGGCTGGCAGGCTTAAACTAACTCTTGTGGATTTCATTGACTGATGAAAGCCATGTTTTACTTCGAACACCACTGGCTCTTTTCCAATCTGATCCTCTGTCAGCTAAAATTGCCCGTTGTCGAGAAAGGCGATGCCTAGGCATACATAACATATGTCCTAACCACCTCAATCGGTGTAACTTCACAGCTTCGTCGATTAATTCCCCCCCCCCACCTACCTACCTGGCACTCGACCGATGCCTAACCTAAATATTGCTCACCCTATTATATAACACTGAGCACGAGAAACACAACACAGGCACCTATGATCAAAGACAGCTAACTAGGCCCTTTCATGTCTTCCACTTTCAATGGCCAGGTCTCACTCACAGCCATAAAGGAGGACGCAGCGAACTGCTGCTGAGTAGTACACACGTCCTTTGGCAGACAGTCAGCGGGATATATCACGTCTACTAAGCCAGAGATGGAGCCTTCTGTATCCGTGCTGAGATTTCATCAGCGATCAGCAGCCCATTGGCGCTGGCTGATGCAACCCCCCCCCCCCAAATAAGTGAAGTAAGTGGTCAAATCGCTCTACCACTTCACTCCGACCCCATACTTTAGGCTAGGAGTCAATGCAGTCCAAGATGAGGAACTCGTTGGATAGGAAAATACTTCTAATCTCTTTTTTTTTCTAACTGTGTAAATGAGAATTTTCAGCGATAAAAAACAAATAAACAAATTTTTAAAACAATTAGTTCCCTTTATGAATTTAGACAAAGCAATAAGAAGACGTAATTTGTCTGTCTGAATCGTGTGTCTGTAATGTGTATTTGCGCAACACATTTCGAACAATCTGATCCATCACACACGGACTTGTCATAGGAATGTGTACATATAAAATTATTTATTTTTTATTTATTCATTTATTTAAACGCAGAAAAAACTTGGTACAATATGGCACCAAGAAAGATGCGCCACACAATAATAATAATAAAACAACATAGATTAAAAGTAAAAATAAAAGTAGAAAACGGATAAAGAACTTCATCTGAAAGGAAAACAATCATGTTTAACAATTTCAGACAGTATTCGTTAACTATCATCAGGAAGGGAAGAAAGAAGGAAATTGCAACACATTCGCCATTGATTACGATTCTTGGCCATATCCGATAACGTTTCGAGCCATCGATTCGAACTATCTCGCGGTCCCCAACCAGGGAGTCGTGACACACCAACCGATGCTAATCTAGCACAAATATCTTTCATCCCACGACGCCACGTCGTGGACTGACCACCCCTCCGCCTTTTCCATCCTGTCCCAGGGCTAGCAAACAGGGACCTGTACGGAAGCCTCTGGGATGATATTTGCAGCACATGTCCAAGCCACCGGAGCTGGTGTTTCCAGATGACGACACTCAATGAATGGTGATCTTCACTGTGTTCAAACACACGCCACCGAACCTCAGAATTACTCACGCGATGATGCCATCGAATGCAAACAATCCTGCGGAGACAGCGATGATCGAACACGCAGAGTCGCCTCACATCCTCAGCTCGAAGACGCCAGGTTTCACAGGCGTAGAGCAAGACAGCCCGCACCGAAGCATTGTATACCCGACCTTTGACAGCCAGGCTAACGTCGCGACGGCGCCAGAGGTGGCTCAAGTTGATGTATGCCACCCTAGCCTTCATTATACGGTTGGAAATGTCATCAGTCACCCCACCGCCAGCACTTACATATATAAAATTATTTTTTAATTTTTAATAATTAATATATAAAATTAATAAAGACTTAAGAGGTGATAAAAAAGACTACTTGGGTCAAGTTAAAAGGCCGACATATTGAAGGTCAAATTAACAATGAAGACCACTAAACCAAATAACAGAGGTAATAGTCCATCTAACCTGACTGGTATCAAAACAAATTTTACCAAGGAAGGCGGTTTAGAGTGATGACGAACTGTTGGTTTGAACGCATAAAGGTGGTTTAAACTTTCTAATTGCCAGCTGGGGCTTCCACAAACTTTAGGATACGCCCCAAACACATTTTATAGATAGGTTTAAAAGATGTGTTAACATCAATTTTATGTCCTCTCTCTATAGTATGTTTCGCAATAGAGGAGATAGGTCTCCTGTTCTCACCATTAATGGGTTCTGAAGATTCCATTTGTTTCTGGAGCCATTTAGGAATATGCTCTGAAGCCAGGCCTTACTTGCAGAGATCGATGAGTCCTCCCTATTCATGTGTGTCCACACATACACTCAAATTGGTAAATAAAGTGGGATGTGATATCATTTTTCTCATGTTCAAAGGGCTTAGATAGATATGTTGACTTCACATTCTCAATTATTACGATATTAGCTGCATAGAAAGCCTTTTTAAAGATACCATCGTTCAATCTTTGTCTAGTTATCAAGCTGCTTTGATGCCCCATATAGGGTAGCTTGATGTACACGTCTTTCTTAGGGGCAAGTTGACGAGTGGGTCTTAGTGTTCTGACTACTTCATATCTCCTGATGAACTTATCTGGATAATTGTTATCAACCAGAGTTTGTGTCAACTTTCTTTCTTCTTCATTAAGTGTGTCTTCAGTGCATATTCGTTGGATTCTACTGAAGAGGCACCTCACTCACTAAGGCTCTTTTGTACCAAACAGGGCAGAAACTGTGGTAATTAAGATACCATCCAGTCGTATCCATGTAGGTTTTCTATAAATAGATCATTTTATTGACCCATCAAGCCATCGACTAAGCAATATATCTGGGAAAATAAGTCTATTTTCTCACCTCTTAACTCTTTATTAATTTCATATATGCACACATTCCTATGACAAGTCCGTGTGTGATGGATCAGATTGTTTGAAATGTGTTGCGCGCAAATACAACATTACAGACACACGATTCAGACAGACAAATTACGTCTTCTTATTGCTTTGTCTAAATAAATAAATAAACAAATAAATTATTTTTCTTTTTTTTTCTAAACAGTTGTTAAACTTACCTGAGACTTGGTCATTTCTTGTAAATTAGCAATTCTATTATTTAAATTAGCCATTGATTCTTTTATTACATAAGTTAAATGTTGTATTTCTGCACTATGATCATCGAATAATGTTTGCCGTCTAGCTAGCGCATTCAGCTGTTCCAACTTGGTAAATGTATTCGCTAAATCTTGCCCGATAATTGAAGCTGCTTTCATAAATTGTGAACGTTGTGTAAGCGGATTGTTCGTTTTACTAACTGATTGGTAGTGATTCTCTTGTAATCCATTTAATACAGGTGATTTATACAATAGAGTATGATTTTCATCTGGTAACATAGAAGCATCATTTATGGCAAGTTTTGATACACCAAGAGAATTACACTCCATTGTTGTTGTATGATTTCCATTCATTGATGATTTCGACGATAAATTATTATTTTGGTACTTGGCATCGTTTAATTTTGATCGACTAAGTTGTACAGAACGAATAAAATCGGAAGTACGATCAACTGCTGAACTCATCTAAAAAAATGGAAATATTTTTTTGAGAAAAAAGCAAAAAAAGTAAACGAGTTAAGATAGAGGTCTATAAGTCCACCAACTAATAGCTGCCACCTTAACAATGACAATCAGGTTTGCATATATCACAATAACACAACAACGAACTATACTGGCTGGAAATGATTTCCTCGCAAGTCTCATTATGTCAGAAAGGTTATTCAGATGGTGATTAGACTGAAAGCAGATACTGTCACAGTGTAATCCGTTTACATTATGATAGAGGGTCTGTGGGATGTGTAAGAGCAGTAAATTGTTTTCTTCAGACGACCAACAAGCCAGCTATGCTGGCTCTTCTTTCTGGAGGATACAGGTTTGATTGACTCACTCACTCACTCACTCGTTTCAACACAGAACTTTGCAGAGAAGTGCACCAGTTCGAGTTGCTACTCCCCCTCCATGTATCACACAGTGCAAGAGAAGAGAGTAAAGAGAGATTCGAAAGACAGATAATAAACAGAAGTGTGAGTGAGGGAAAAAGAATATTTTTTCGATTACAGCTTGATTCCACACTGTTTTTTGGTACAAGCATGGAATTTTCAGGATGTGATATCGGTAGCCCAAATTTTGCAGGCCGACCATTGATATCAGGTGTGCGTCGGCAGGAGATCGAAACCCGGACCATGTGCATAGTCGGCGAGCATCCTAACCACTGTGCCACCGACGCACAATAGAGTTTTGTTGGATATGATTGACATCTGTGCCGTCACTGAGAACGATTCTGAGCCATGTCACCAATTACTTCCAGCCATCATTGATTCTCACCATTCCGAGGACTCCAACTAGCCAGTCAGAAAAGTCTACACCTTCCTACATGGCTGACCAACTTAAACTAACTCTTGTGGATTTCACTGACTAATGAAGTCATATTTTGGTTTGACCACCACTAGCTTTCACTTTTCCAAACTAACCTATCCTATATTAGGTAATATTTCCCAATTGAGGAAGGCGATGACTAGGCATGCGTAATACATTACCCAACAAACCTTAGGAGGTTTAGAAAACACATCGACCCCGAAAATTATACATCCCAATTTATCTTGCGGTGGTCCGTATCAGGCGGCAAGATCTTAATATGGACGAAACTCTAAGAATCACTTGAAACAGGCTATGTGTGACCGATATCGAGCAGTTATCCCCTGGATTCTGTGGTTATACAATGCTAACGTCCTTTGCTTCATGAACTACCACGGTGTGAGCAGCCGGGAGCTAACAACCGCTCACTCACTTCCATAAGCACGCGAAGTTTTCTTCACCTCCCCAAACCCTATTAGCAAATGTCCTTTAAACAGTGAACAACATTGAATACGCTGATGTGTTCGATACTGATAACAGAAATCTCTGAAAGTACTGCAAGATATCAGCATAGCATTCACGTGCCAGATATTTTGTGGGTCACGCCTTTCTATGTAACATGGTAAACTAAATAATGGCACAAAGTCAATAAGTGTTATCCATAATCATTTTTACGAAGAAATCTAAGCAATGCAAGAATAATTATAGTCAATATCAACTTTTGGCTGCAATCAGAAACAGAATCAAATAGTGAACCATTTTAAGTCTCCACATTTCGTGAAAAATACATATAGAAACAACGTAACCAACGAGAACTAAAGGGTGATATTAACGTATAGCAGGTCGGGAGTGAGAAATACTCGCCAATAACATAGGCAAGTAGTCGCGCTAAATCATGAATTGGTAGGAGTTAGAATTCATGGACTGGCCATTGGATCGGGTCCCAGTGGCTGAATGGTCAATGAGCTCGTTAGGCTTGTAATCAGAAGGTCCTGGGTCCGAACCCTGGTGGTGGGTGTGTACTGTGAAGAGTCCTAAACTAGGACGAAACAGCTGTCCAGTACTCCCAGGTTTTTCAATGGTTTTCTAATCGATGTCAGCATATAATGAAATCCTGTAACTGATCAATCAAATCCTTACAAACCAATACTTGAAGATTATTACGACTTTGAGGGGAATAAGGCGTTGGTTTGTGTGAATTATTATGATACATACTGCACTGTTATCAGACACAGTATCACCATACATCAGGATTCAGGCTTGATTTTCAGCCAATGACCTCTTTTCACAAAAAAATGATATAGTAGAGGATGAATGATGGACTTCAGTCTTTCTCCAAAATGACTTCATGCGGTTACGCGTTCATAACCCACCCTCACCCAAATGTCATCCTTTCTCACTGTCTCGGGGTAAGGAAAGTGCTCCTACCAAAGTGAAAAGGCAACTGTCTAAGGATAATCATCGTGCAAATGGTCATGGAAGGTTCACCTGGACGATTGAGGAAACTTTGATTTAATACCGACGGTTCATACAGGCTCTAGGATCCGATAAAGACGAATAGTGCATGAACTTGGTTTTGTAACAGGGAATCACAAAAACATAGCTCCAGAAAGCCATTGAAAGTGCAGCATATGAAAAAGATAGCTGTCTTTGACCACAGATGTTTACGTTCTATCTTCTGTGTCAAGTAGTAGAACATGGTGTGCAATACTCAGACTAGGCGTAGAGTGTTGGGTAAGGTGGCTAAGTCAATCGATGAGGTTGTGAAGCCGTATGCGCATGATACACTATCGTCTTTCTCAATAGACAATATGAGCCGACATTGAATTGGGTTGGAAAAGAGTAAGGAGTGGTCAAAACGAAACCTGGCCTCAGTCCATAAAATCCTTGACAGTTGGTTTGAGCAATGTAAGGAGCTATACACTACCCTGTTAGCGCCTTCGGAATGCTAAGAACTGATGGTTGCAGACTGTAAGTGATATGCATTAAAAATGATTCTCAATGGCCCAGATATATTCAGTCTCTGTAGTCCCCATAAACATTACACCTTCAAATTTTCACCCTGTTCCTGTCCTTCTCCTTCACATTTCTGCTAATTATTATTTTTCCTAATCCGATTTTTTCTGCCTTTTGTCTACCTTTGTGTGCTACATGGAGTTTGGCAACCTAAACTGATGTACTTCTGTGCAAATTTCTATGTCGAAATCCAATCAGTCACTCAGCTGCTGAGCTTTTGTTACCTTGTACATCAGGCCCAAATAAATTATTATAAAACCTTCCTTCCAGCTAAGTATATCATTTCAACATTCCACAATTTCTATGACAAACAGCCAGTCCTTAAAAAATGCTAATGACTAAGTGATTATGATTTGTCAAAGTTATCTACTTTTAGTAACTGCATTTTACGATATGTTGATAAGCTAACTGCTAAATTGTATCGATAGTAGGTATTTCACCGTGTGAAAATTAATCAGGCATTCAGGATCTTTTCTGTGTGAGTAAACTGTAGTCCAGATAATGGTTTCAGATCATATATTAGGATACTATACATCCGCCCCCGAATTCTGCTAACTGATGGTATCATCTCTTGATGTGATATGAATGCCTAAGAGACCGAAAACAGCTTTAGAAAACGCTAACACTGGATAACTTTCCAAGTTTAATCGCGATTTTCTTATTTTTTACAGCAAAGAAAGCCATCAACAATACACCACGAAAAACGTCTTACTATAACTGACAAACTATTTAATCTCACTTGAGTTAAACATTGTTTTAGAGGGAAATTTGGCTTTTATGAATTGAAACAGAATTCCTACTAACTGCTTATATGACAATACCTGACAATGATTTAGCCTGATATCTGCTCTGTCAAGTATAAGATCTGTTAAAGTTTGAGATCAGATTTAATCAAAACAACTGGAAAACACCAAAAATAACTGAGCACTATTAATACCTGCAAAAATGAATAATTTCTAATGTAAATAATCCAGCAAAGAGCCACTAATAATTAACAACAAAACAAGCACAGAATATCATAACAGTTATTACGGTTTTCAACATCAAACAGAATAACAAAAAGTACCACGACAAATCATAATGATGCCGTTTGCAAGACTCAGGTATTAGCACGGAGACGAGTAGGTAAATCATCTGAGGCAAAGTTAAACCTTAAGCACCACTAACTACCAATCAGCGAATGACGTCAAATGCACCACGCACATGAAGGAGGCAGTTTTGTGTATGGAATAGATATATATTTATGAAAAAGAAATGCATAAAACTATAGAAAAGTGTTATAGAGAATACCTTGCTCTCACATGTGATGAGAAATAGCTCTCATTTTTAGGTTGGAGTACCAACAGAACATAATTCGATTGTGGGTAAAATTTATTTTGATAAAGTCTCACAGTGTAATACAGTAATAATTCCTCAGCAATAAATTGTGCTCAAAACGTCATCAGTAAGTACTACTGTATAACATTGTGAGACTTTATCAAAATAAATTTTACCCATAATGGAATTATACTCTACCACAGTGCAAAAGTTCTATTCTTATATCAACAGAGTAATTTAACCACATTCTATGCATGTAATTATTTAGTTCTTCTAAGCCTAACAATAACCCTAATCTTTCCTAAACCTGACCCTAACGTGGAAATATCCCCCAAACTAACTGGAATCTAACTCGAACCAACTCTAATCTCGCCTTTATTAGGTTAACCCAACGCTAACTTGTCGTTGGCTTAAAGTGTAACTTAATCTTTCCCAGACCTATGCTGAAACTGGCCAGATATTCTATTTAATAGCATGACACTTCGATGAGGATATTTTATTGATGATGACAACATTACTTGCCAAGTCTTACTAACTTGCTCAGTGAGCGTTTGACGGTCACTGGTGCGGCCGCACTCCATTGGTAATTAGTGGTGCTTAAAGTTTAACCTGGCCAAGTTGACATTAACCGTCTGACTTCATAAGCATGCAAATGTATCCTCTAATCAGCCCCATTCCAAGTAAAGTATACGTAAAAAAATTCTTCCAGACACTTGTCGGTGAATACTCACAATGTCACTTAAACACTTTAATAGGCAGGAATATAAGGAAAAGGTTGGTACACTCTGTTATTGGTATTAAAAATTTAAGGCATTGGGATTCTCTGGTCTATATCATAGTATTCTTAATCACTTCCTATAGCTGGAGGGGAAATCTCCAAAGAAGATGATGAATACAAAACCGTTGTTTACAAGAGGTTCAAACTATCATGTGAATAAGTTACACATGAACCACGTATAAAGTTGGAAATTCCAGAATTTCAATGGGATTTTCGCATTAGAATGTTAGCTGGAGATCTCCCAAACGTATGCCTATATTTAGGCACTACAAAAAGTTAACTGGAACACGTTTTCCACATATCAGCTACAGCAATTGCCTGAGGGTCAGGCTGGAAAAGAGCTAGCGGCGGTCAAACGAAAACATGGCACTAGTCAATGAAATCTACAACACTTAGTCTAAGCCACGTAGGAAGGTGTAGACTTCCTGGTTAGGGTGTTCGGGGTGGTAAAAACCAATGGTTGGAAACAATTGGTGATATGGCTCAAAATCGTCGTTCTCAATGACTGGCGCAGATGCATCCACTCCTCGTGACTTATGATTTCCAATTAAACTGTTTTGTTCTTCGTTATTACTATACCTTTATCTCACACCTCTGTTTACTGTCTATATTATGCACTTCTCCTGCTTTCTTCTCTTTCTTTGTGTGCTACATGGAGTGTGGCAACTTGAACTGCCGCACATATGTGCAAAGTTCTATGTCGAAAACGGACAGACAGACAGAGGAGTGAAGATAACAACCACATAGACACGTGTAAGTAAAGCGGGCTTCGAAATTCGAGATGCATTTGTCAGAAGTCATATGCTAAAACTAGTGAAGCTCACCACGAACAATAACATGACAGCTTTTACTAAAGATTTAAAAGTCTTAGTGCCATTACTAAAGCTAGTTTGTGTTTCAAATTTTTAAGAAAACTATTTGAAATATAATTTTGGTGTTTGCGCAACTGAACAACTACACAGAGTATCAAATTACGAATTTAATCGTACATTTTATCCAACCTGTATTAATTTTATACTGACAGGTGAACTATGTATATCAATACCTTTACTTTATTTATTTTAAAGATTGCAATATGCATATCTAGATAAATTAGCTGAATGGTCGAACCTGTGGAGTTTGGAAATTAATTCTAGGAAAAGTGCGGTAATGCACTTAGGTTAGAAGTCTTATACGTTGTACTCCCTGGGGGCACACAACTACCTGATGTTAATGGATAGCAGGACCTAGAATTCATTGTCAATAATTACTTGAAAACAACTGCAAATTGCGGTGTAGCTTCAGCTAAGGCTTTTGAATGCTATGGATACTCCAAAGAGCCTTCAAACGAGTAGATGAGTCTATGTTCAAAGTACTCTACGCAACATATGTCAAGCCTAATTTAGAATGCTGCATACAAGCGGCTAGTCCATGCTTCAAAAAGGAGATACATATCTTAGAAAGAGTACCGTTGGTAGGAACTAAATTAATTAGTGGTATCTCACACCTTCTTTATGACAAAAGGATGGATCATTTAAATCTCTTCCAGTTATCATACCGATGGAAGAGAGGCTTAATTTTAGTATACTGTATAATTAAGGGCGATTTAGGGACTGACTTTTCTCACCTTGTTTTCCCTTCTAAGATACATTTACGAAGTCACCGCCAAAAGGTTTTCAAACCGAGGGCGATTAAAATACGTGCGACATTTAGATTCTCCTACAGAGTGCTTAACGACTGGAGCTCCTTACCTGATTCATTAGTATCAGCTCCATTGGTGAACGCTTTTAAAGAGAAGTTAGACTTCTGCATATATATGTTTTGCAAGGATAACCACAAAAGCCTTCTATCTTTATCATCTGAATCTGAATCTAAATGTACAAGGAAAAGCAAACCAAATCCGTCACTGAGACGCTGACGATTCCCCAATATAACTCCACTCCTGGCAATATTATTTCTCACAGAAAAGAAAGCATTGACAAAAAACCATACTAATTCAAGTCACTATATTATCAGTCTATTAACAATCTCATATGAAATACAGATATAGACAGATTCGTCTTTATTTATTTATTTGATTTACAGCTTGCCTAAGGCTCCGATTCTCACCTAAATACCTGGTCACTAGCGCCAGTAAGCGCCAGCATGCGTCAATGTGCAGACATCTAAGTTTACATCAGAGAATATATGCATAGAATCCAAATACCATTAGCCTAGGAACATATTTCAAAAATTCAAACTTTAGAAGCTAGTATGTACATATATAACCACATAAACCTAAAGAAAATAATTTCATTTTTGTAAGTACGGAAAATATCACCCAAGTGTCACCCAATGACGTTAAGAATACCACCAACCTTGGGAACCCAAGTGTACAACTCCGTACCACAAAATTTCGTAAAGTGCGCCACAGTCCAATATCAGATTCAGAGGATAAAGATAGAAGGCTTTGCTGAATAACTTCACTAATTATATGTATTATTATAATATCTCTTCTCATTTGACGACGATACTGGTGAAAGGATCAACTCCATTCACAGTAGTAACAGTCTTAACACATCTCATACTACAAACCACATATAATTAATCCCTGCACTACTCCTTTTGAAGTCAACCAAAGCTACGACAGTCGAGTAGCGGGATGAGCTACTCAGAAGCTTACCGAAGATCAGGAACCTATACCTCACAATCAAGAGGCAAGCACAAAGAAATCAAATTGGTTTATACTAGCTCGTAAAAACGATATTGGATATTGGATGTTAATCCTCGCGATATCTCTGCAGAGACCCAGTTTATCTTTGAAAGCGTTCACCAATGTAGCTTTTACTAATGTAACTGGTAAGGAGTTCCAGTCGTTGAGCACTCTATGAGAGAATCAAAATTCCACACGTATTTTATTCGACCTCGATTTGGGCACCTTATTGTGGTGACCTCGTAAATGTGCCCTAGAGGGTATCAGCACCCGAATCATCCCGAAGTTGTCTACTTTTCACTGATTACATATTTGAAGCAACAGCCACTATCACTAAAGTCTTTGATAGTGAGTTAGATACAGCATAAACGAAGACTAACAGCTCAAGTTAGAGAAGTCAGGTAAAATACGCCAATATTACTCAAGAAGAATTCAAATAAATTCATATCATAACAAAATCTGTTCTGAAGACGATGTCCTTAGGGAAAACGAAAGCCCAGAAATTAAGTCAACTAACTCCGAGAAAACTAAACCAAATACACTACATCACTAGATACATTATGGAACATATATAAAGATATTTAACAAGAAATCTAGTTAGTTTACGGTAAAGTTAGAAAAGATTACGTTTAATGACTTTGAAAATAACTTCCACTGGTTTGGCCACGAAGTCATTTTGTAACTGTTTCAAAAGCTTGGATAATTCATACCTTCATCAACCACATTCAGCATTTGGTTTTAAAAATATCTCAAACTGGAAACGTTTATTGCTTGCACTGGAATCACACCATACAAACGAGCGTTTGAATTCTGGTGCGTCGGTGGCACAGTGGTTAGGATGCTCGCCGACTATGCACATGGTCCGGGGTTCGATCCCCTGCCGACGCAAAGCTGATATCAATGGTCGTCCTGCGAAATTCAGGCCGGCGATATCACATGCTGAAAATTACATACCTGTACCAAAAAGGAATACGGTGTGGAATCAAGCTGTAATTTTAAAAAATCACAACGGCCTTCGAGAATTCGACTGTGGTGATCTGCACTCTTTACCCGGAGGATCGTAGCAATGGTTTTATGAAGTCCCAGACGGTCTTATTGTAGTTCAGATAATTTCATTAGTTGCACAGTGAAATTACAAGTCGAATTACTACTTGTGGTCGCTACGTGAAGACATAGAACCCACTAGGGTTGAGAGGGGTTAGCATTGCACGTCGCAAATGTATACTATCATTTCAAGTACTAAATAGCTTCTTCTCCTTGTATTTATCTTGTAAATATACTTCCAATGATGCATTATTCATAATTAGATTTTACACCATTTTGCAGCTGCGCAGAATTTCTTTCCCTTCCTGAAATAGTGTTCAATCACGTGGTGATATAGCACTCACCCAATAGTGAGCCACATATTCCTGAGTAATTCAGCTTATATATCATCAGCAGCAAATTTTGCACTCGAAGTAGATGACGAGTACTAGCTTTAATGTGTCTCTGATACTCCCCACAAAGTTAAAGAAATCAAATTGCTAGGTCAAATACCGTTGGAATTTTACGAATACATGCTGGCCCAGACCAAATCTTGCAGCTAAGCATGAGTTTTCGGATGTAATCTTTAGTTAGTAGTTACATAATTCTGGGTATTATATATATAATACTGATTGGCCTGTAGTTGTTGATCACCGTTTCCTTGCTGCATCGGTGTTTGGGAAAATTTAATGGTTCTCACCTATTAACACTTTTCACACGGTGAAACAGTATTATTTACTGGATGACAAAGTTTCGAACAAAATTTATTGTTCATAATCATATCGTCAGTTATAATCACACGACCCCTTAGTACATCATTTTGATTATCTTTAATAATAATAATAATGTATTTCATATAAATTTACAAATTTACATGAAAATGCATGCCATTTTTACAGGCACGATCAAGCATGATATAATATCAAATCGTAGATTGTCTACAAGTTAATCGTATTTCAACTGTTAAATATTCGATACATATAATACACTCATTTTGTGAATTAGGCCGTATAGTTATTGAATTGTACAGTTGTCCTCCAGGTTGAGCGGGAAAATCGACTTCGTTCCGTTTTCATCCCGTGGTTGTAGGCATACGATAACCAACCAATATTGAGGTAAGTACACCTTTTACAAGGGATTGGAATCTGTTTTAGAAAAATTAAAGTGCTGAGGTGAATCATTAAATTGTAATGAAATAGGTAAGTGCAAGTATCATTAATAAATGCATTAATAAAGGAAACACCCTAGGGTAACAACATTCATTTGCAATGTATAATGCTACACATATATCACAAACTATCATGATATCCACTTTATTACCATCATATGTGCAATATCCACTGAGCAATTTCTAGTGCCGCTTAGTGCTTTTTCCATGATATAAATACTATTGTACAGCCTGAAAATGAAGTTGCTGAAAGGAGATATTTATTCACTGAGCAAAACACCGTGTTTTTCTTTTTAAAATGTCTTTTCCACTTATCGGGAGGGTTTGAATCTCTAAGGTCATGGTGACATATTATGGTATACCGTCAAAGTCAACACTACTAGAACTTTCGAGAATTCTAATGGCTTTGTTAATGTTGGCATGTCAGCTCAACATTACTAATTTGTTTCGGTGAAGGAAAAGAGGGACTTTTCAACATAAAGGTAGATAGTAAACCGGAAAATGGGATGGTAGGCCTAAGGTATTCATCTGAGAAAGTCTTCTTTATTGAGCCACGCATTTCCTCACTGTTACCGTATAGATTACCTTTGTCAATACAGAGAGACATGCTGTATTTTGTGCCAGTCAATCGCCTCTGTGTTGTCAGACATTCCACTGGCTAGTTGGGTGCGTTCCTCATTCCCCATAAGCAAATTACGAGTGTGAGATGAAGCGAAGAGCATTAGGTATTGAGCCTAGTGTACCCAAGTCGTGTTGTCTGAAGTGAATGCTCGACTCCTTTTCCTGTGACCATTTGGTTTTGAAAATATCCTCTCATATGAGAAACATTTATTACTTGCAATGGAATCGTGGACCATTAAACTACTGGAACCTCATCCAACGGCCTATGAATCCTGGCTTCTGCCGATTCATGATACACCGCGACCTGCGGCTCGTTCTGCTGCAGTCGCCAGTGTGTTTCAGAACTGTCTTTTGTCTTTCCTGGCACTCTTCTTCATTTCTTCATTCAGTGAGGTGTACATTGAACTCAGCTTCTCTCTCTGTTGCCCATCTTTGCGCTGAGTCATCTCTTTCACCAACCCCGTCTTCTCGACCACCTTCCAGGTATCCGTCGACAGCCATTCCTTGTCCTATCCCTTTCTTCCTCATAGAACAGTTGTACATGTTTTATTAAATATCGCTTTCAGAAACTTCCAATGTTCTTACACACAGGTTTCCTCAGTGGTGTCACGTAGTGTCTCCGCCTTTGCTCTAATCTGATCTGAAATAATATATAAACAGTATCTGTGAATGCTTTAGTGTAGGTAAACCAATGCTATATGCAGATGACTTAAAAGTGACGTATAAATGCAAGAACACAGATCTTGGAATAACAGTAAACGCCATACAGCAAGAATTAGAAAAATGGATAGATGGTGTGACACCTGGCAACTCCAATTTAATGTCGAAAAATGTGGCTGGCTCTGCATAGGTTGCAACAATTTAGAACTTGACCTGACAATTCAAGGCAATGCACTTCAACGACTGGAATCTGTACTGGACCTAGGGCTGAAATATTCACATAACTTATCATTTTCTGAACATATATCCAAACAAGTGTCAAAGTCACGCAGACTTATCGGCTTTCTACTCAGGAACTTCTACAGAAATGAGTCTAGAATTCTGTTGTACAAGGTTTGTGTGCGTCCTTTATTTGATTACTGTTCATTCATGTATAGTAGCATACACATAGAGGACCAATTGAAAGTCGAGGGAATGCAGAGGTACTTCACGTTAGAATTACTCGGAACCGAAAATTGTGCGAACTACTCCACTAGATGTGATACCCTAGGACTAGAAACACTATGGCTAAGACGCCTGAAACTAAACTTGACACTTTACTATAAGCTTCTAAACCACTTAGTTTTTACCTCTGCTAATGGCACTCGACTTTCAGATGACAATGGCTACAAACTAAGACACACTAAGGGTACAGTAGCTATCGAACAATGTAAAACAGACACCAGGCAAAAGTTTTACTCGATTAGGTATGGACAGATATGGAATAAATTGCCAATTGAAATGCGTCAAGCAAGTACATTGGCCTCCTTCAAAAAGGTGCTTAATGACAAACTACAAGAGTTTGCAAACGATAGTAGTTCTAGTTCCTATCTGAGAGCCTCCGAAATTATAGGTCCATTTAATTTATAAGCTTAAATACTACACCTGTTGTTTTTTGCCTATATTTATAATTCTAGATAAAACATTAACGGTTAAGATACGTATCCTCAAACAGACAAGAAATCTCGTTTGTAAAACTACTACCCAACACAATAAGTGGAATAAAATGGACACAAACCGAAAACATGAAAGAGGTGTAACTCACCACAACATCACATGGACAGATGTACGCTCGTTGGGTACCATATATCCCTCACCAACCGCAACCCACATTTCCTTAGATAATGTGATGAACTTATATCAATAATGTTGCTGAGCAATATTCTCAACTCCTGTCAGAACAGCTGAAACTCATAACCTTCCTCACGCTAAGAAAATACCCACAGGCAGTAGAAATCCATTAATTAATGCGTCTGAAGCTTATATATTTACTCCCAACAATGACATTGCAGATCAAATGAGACAAACACATCACTGATTTCAAAATAACACATCAATGGACTGTAATTCGAGGACTCTGCACACAACAAAGTTATGTATGAATATTTACTTCAAGCTTTGTTTTTTTTCCCAGGCACTTATAATCCATCCACCAAAGACCTGGATTTTTGTTAATGCGAAGACAATACTTCTGTATTTCCTGTTGTGTTGCACTCACTGACAATCTAGCAGATTTTCCCAACTTTGCACAGAAATGATTGTATGTACGTGAAAAGGCTGTTTTATACTACTGGGATTAACATTTATCAAGTGTATGTTATATCTCCAGCGAACATGTAAAGCATATCTTGCTACTGCCTGTAAATTGTGATTGAATTATATGGTTCTATTTCTGTAACAATTTGATGATGCCTGTAAACTGGCGTCCCTCATGTACTGTACTATGAGAATAAATTTATTTATTTATTTATTTAAATGAAGGCACCCCTTGTGGTTTTGTCCTTCAGTTTCTGAATGTTGAGCCTGAATTACAGTGGCCTGTCTCCAGTTGTTTTCAGGGATTTCAGCTTCATCTTTAAGGTTCCTTGAACTAGATGACGGTCCGAGCCCACATGTTCTCCCCTTCTCGACCTTATGTCCATCAGGGTGACTGCGTCTCCACTTACTTGAGATTGAGAGGAAATCTGTTTGGTTTGTAATGTGTCCGTCAGGCGAAATTCATGTTGATTTGTGTATATCCTTGTGTTTGTATACGCTTCCTCGTATCACCAGATAGTTGAAAGAGCAGAAGTCTGCGAACAGTTCTCCGTTCTAATTCATTTCTCATTTTTTGTATTATCTGCTCCCAGTTTGACATCTATATCGCCCATGAAGAATTGGATGTCATCACTTGGGATACTGTTTATCACTGTTTGTAGTTGTACGTAAAAGTCTTCTCTCTTCTCTTGTTCCGTGTTGTTTGTAGGTCCGCAGCATTGGATAATTGTCTTCCTTTCTTCGGAGTTGAGTCTCGCTGCCATGATCCTGAATGAAATTAGTTCTCACTGCATTAGGTCTCCGGCTGCCACTGGTGACATCATGATAGCCACTCACTGCCTCAGTGTGTTCGTGGTTGTCGTTTTGATGACCAGATTGGATTCCTGACTCTTCCGTTGACAATGTTGTCAGTCCACATCCATTCCATCTACTTTCGCAGATACCCAGTACTTCTGTGCCATATAATAATATATGGATATGATAGAGAAGATTTGTAACTCAGGTGGATGATTTTGATGTGGTTGTGTTCTCTCTTCAGCGCACACTTCAAATTGAAGTATGCGCTGAAGATGTCACCCAGTAGGGTGATGAAAGCTTCGCAGATTAACTATCCAGCTCAGAGAACACAACCACATCAAAATAATAATATATATTTATTCCTATCTATGTAGGACACACCAGTTGAGACACGTTGGCTAACTGGCTTCCCGAAGGCTTTCACCAGCCCACGTCATTTCGCCTCTCCGATTCAAGCGAAAAGTAAGATTGTTCTCTGAAGTTTTTGTATTTCCAATATATTTTTGTGTGTTGAAGTTTCTTCAGAGTTTTGATATGTTTAATGGTGTAGGGTTGCTAGCCCCACGCCCAACCCTCCTGTTTACCCGGGCTTGGGACCAGCTAGCAACCTAGTTAATGAGGCGAGGTTGAGGAATGGTCCATGTTGACCTAATAGTGGGCCACATATTCCTGAGTAATTCAGCTTATATATCATCAGCAGCAAATTTTGCACTCGAAGTAGATGACGAGTACTAGCTTTAATGTGTCTCTGATACTCCCCACAAAGTTAAAGAAATCAAATTGCTAGGTCAAATACCGTTGGAATTTTACGAATACATGCTGGCCCAGACCAAATCTTGCAGCTAAGCATGAGTTTTCGGATGTAATCTTTAGTTAGTAGTTACATAATTCTGGGTATTATATATATAATACTGATTGGCCTGTAGTTGTTGATCACCGTTTCCTTGCTGCATCGGTGTTTGGGAAAATTTAATGGTTCTCACCTATTAACACTTTTCACACGGTGAAACAGTATTATTTACTGGATGACAAAGTTTCGAACAAAATTTATTGTTCATAATCATATCGTCAGTTATAATCACATCACATCATTTTGATTATCTTTATTACCATCATATGTGCAATATCCACTGAGCAATTTCTAGTGCCGCTTAGTGCTTTTTTCCATGATATAAATACTATTGTACAGCCTGAAAATGAAGTTGCTGAAAGGAGATATTTATTCACTGAGCAAAACACCGTGTTTTTCTTTTTAAAATGTCTTTTCCACTTATCGGGAGGGTTTGAATCTCTAAGGTCATGGTGACATATTATGGTATACCGTCAAAGTCAACACTACTAGAACTTTCGAGAATTCTAATGGCTTTGTTAATGTTGGCATGTCAGCTCAACATTACTAATTTGTTTCGGTGAAGGAAAAGAGGGACTTTTCATCATAAAGGTAGATAGTAAACCGGAAAATGGGATTGTAGGCCTAAGGTATTCATCTGCGAAAGTCTTCTTTATTAAGCCACGCATTTCCTCACAGTTACCGTATAGATTACCGTTGTCAATACAGAGAGACAAGCTGCATTTTGTGCCAGTCAATCGCCTCTGTGTTGTCAGACATTCTACTGGCTAGTTGGGTGCGTTCCTCATTCCCCATTGGCAAATTACGAGAGTGTGAGATGAAGCGAAGAGCATTAGGTATTGAGCCTAGTGTACCAAAGTCGTGTTGTCTGAAGTGACTACTCGACTCCTTTTTCTGTGAACATTTGGTTTTGAAAATATCCTCTCATATGAGAAACATTTATTACTTGCAATGGAATCGCAGCATCCAAGTGTGCGTTTAATTCTGGTGGAAAATGCTAACGGCCTTCGAAAATTCGGCTGTGGTGAACTGATCTCTTTACCCGGAGGATCGTAGCAATGGTTTTATGAAGTCCCAGATGGTCTTATTGTAGTTCAGATAACTTCATTAGTTGCACAGTGAAATTACAAGTCGAATTACTACTTGTGGTCGCTACGTGAAGACATAGAACTCACTAGGATTGAGAGGGGACTTTCGTTGTAACAGAATATTAGGCCTAGTGCGTTATCACCTCTCGAAGGGATAATGAGACTTTGTTTACGGACTTTTTTTGGCCGATGCTTACTTCAAACAAATGATGGACAAACTCCATGCTCTTCAGTTCATCATTCACTTGGGACATCAGTATGCATATATAAAGGTCATACTGCTAAGAGTGTCCTCAGGTATCGATGTATCTGGTGACCTAATGGGAAGCGCTTGTCATGAAAGCTCCAATCTGTAGGACAGCAACATGCATTTTCGACAGCTCGAGAATTAAACATTAGTCTGGGGCCCCAACAAAAAATAATAAGGGTTGTGCATATCTTAATTATAAATAAAAAAGTGCTTTTTCTCCTACAATCTACAAGCCTGTTCAGCTCCTTGTCAAGAGGCTACCCACTGGGCCTTGCAGAAATTCGTGAAGCATCTTACAGGCCAGCTTGTCCTACGGGTTCAAATTTTCCAGATCTTTGAATTCACTCCTCACTTAAGCATCATTCACCTACCTCACAATAATCATTTTATTTACGCACTATTAAACCAAGTCAAGCATTAAATACCTCGGATTAGTTCTTTCCTATGACCATTCATGGTCATCCCACATCTTATCAATCTCTAAGAAAATGTTTCGTCCTACCTTCTACATTAAAAAGTTAAGACAATCAAGTATCAACCAACCTTTAGTTCTGCAATTTCCCTTTATTCACAACTGTCCCCTTGTATCTCGTCAGGTAGGACGAGAAGTCAATATAAAAAGTTATATGCTCGAACCGCTAGGTACGAAAATTCTACAATACCGTATTTAGCCCGTATTTTATGTGATGAAGACTCTGTTAGACGTGAAACCTATAAGTTACGATGTAATTAGCATAGTGAATCGACCCTTTCACTGTTCATCTTTCTGTGATTTTATGGTGTCACTCTTTTTATCGTTTAATTATAACTTCGTTATTTTTATTTTAGTTGTTATTACTATTATTACTATAATTTTATACTTTATGCATATTTTTCTCCGTATTGCATACAGTAATTTGCTAAATAGCTGCTTTAACAACGCTTTGTTATCATTATTATGTAATGTTTATTTTGTTTTTTTGTCGTTTTTGAGTAAATTAGATGCAATATTGTACTGAATGCTGAAAATTCCTCGGTGTATCATTAGTGCTGTTTTTGGAATAAAGCAAAAGTTATTATTATATAATGTTCAGAGACGCGCTTGGAAAGTACGTGCTTTGTGCGGCCAATATATAACGCCCTGTTGAGCAGGTAATCGTTGACCACTGTCGACTCGGCATTATATATCATGTGTAGCATGTCTATTAATACATTATTGATAAAGTTTACCCCTAAGCATCGAGTAATCAGATTTAATAGGGGGAAATCTAATATGGTTGGTATACATGTTTCCTATAACCATGGATTCCTGCCGACACAATTAAAATTTTAAATAACGAGGCCATTCAGCTACAGAAATTTGGACACTTTGAGGCTGTTCTCACTGAGATTGAGATCACTGGATAATAACAATAATTTGTGTTTCGTATAAACGAGTAAGTTTACAAGAAATGCATGCCATTTTTACAGGCACGATCAGTAATGTTATAAATTACATTCCTGAAGTATCATAAATTAACACTTTTTCAAAATTTAAAACAATTAGTTCCCTTTATGAATTTAGATAAAGCAATAAGAAGACGTAATTCGTCTGAATCGTGTAATGTATTTGCGCAACACATTTCGAACAATCTGATCACACACGGACTTGTCATAGGAATATATATGAAATTAATAAAGAGGTAAGAGGTAAGAAAATAGACTTAGGTCAAGTTTAAAGGACATATTCAAGGTCAAAGTAACAATGAAGACCACTAAACCAAATAACAGAGGTAATAGTACATCTGCTACGGTATCAAAACAAAATTTACCAAGGAATGTATTGTGTGATGACGAATTGTTTTTGAACGCATAAAGGTGGCTTAAACTTTCTAATTGCTAGGGCTTCCACAAACTTTAGGATACGCCCCAAACACGTTTCATAGGTAGGTTTAAAAGATCTCTTAACATCAATTTTATGTCCTGTTTCTATAATATGTTTCGCGATAGAGGAGCTAGGCCTCCTGTTCTCACCATTAATGGGTTCTGAAGATTCCATTTGTTTATGGAGCCATTTAGGAATATGCTCTGAAGCCCTTACTTACAGAGATCGATTAGCCCTGCCTATGTATGTGTGTCCACACGTACATTCAAATTGGTAAATACAGTGGGATGTGACGTCATTTTTCTCATGTTCGAAGGGCTGAGATAGATATATTGGCTTTACCTTCTCTATTATTATGATATTGGCTGCATAAAAAGTCTTTTTGACAGCAGCGTTCAGTCTTTGTCTAGTTATCAAGCTGCTTTGATGCCCCATTTATTTATTTATTCCTGTTTATGCAGGGTCATACCTTCGTTCAACGCGGTACGTCCAACGTTTGCGCTACATTTTTGCGTGATTCGTTACATAAAATTTATCTTGTTGTAATCCTTGCACAAGTACTCTACTACTTCCATACCTATAACTATTAACTCTCATATCAAATAGTTATGGTTAACCAAAGTAAAAAGCAGCGAACTCAATCCCCTGTAAAACTGATGACTAATTTTAAGTCGTTGATTGCTACATCAAGCAACATACTTCCTACAAATGGTTATAGTGAGCCACAAAACTCACTTGTATGTCGTAAGCGTCGAGCTGAAACTGAGGATAAAACTGCACTGACAGCTAGTATTAGCACTACTCCCAAAAATTCAGTACCCTCTGCTCATACAGAAACCCTCCCTACACCTTATGTGCTTATCGAAAAGCTCCAGCCTTCAAGCTCTGTTTCAGTACTATCTTCAGAAATAGAACTTCTAAAGTTGTCCATAGGAGAACTTAAGGCCGAGTTAAGGGACTTAAAAAACAATAAGTCAGTAGATCCTGGAATTTCCGTTACCAATACCAAAATCTCCAATTTATCAGGTCAGATCCGTGATATCAGACTGCAGGTCTGTGAACTGACACCTTTAACTATTCTCATGAAAACTGTAGACCTTAACAAACTTGACAGTGAATCGATATCTAAGGTGGATAACCTAATTAACTCTGTTACTACAGAAGTAACAAAACGACTAGATGCTAAATTAAATGCTATTGTCTACAACGTTCCGGATAATGAGGCACTAAAAAAGGTACAGCGCATCCTACTTAGTGAGGCGAAAATGCCCAACTCCAAGACTAAGTGCTACAGGCTGAAGAAGAGTCAACATGAAAAGTGTTGTCCTATTCGTTTTCAGTTCGAAACACCTGCTGAGGCCAGAAAATTTACCCACTCCCAACACACCCCACTGCAAGCCAGAAATTATAAACTAGTAAAGGTTGCGGTGGACAAGACCGTCATAGAAAGGCGCGTATATAATTATCACACTGAGTCTAACTGTGGAATAAACAATAGGACATTGCAAGCAGCAATTATACCCAACCCTTTGAGAGACACCGTACAATCCACCGCACCACCCCTCTCTAACCACACAGAATTATCTTCTCAGAGAGCGACACCAACCGAAAGGCCGCTAAATTGTAATCAAATAGCCAATAAAACTATACCACCTACCACTGTAGATTTAGACATGTCACTAAATAATCCAAGAAAAAAAGTCAAAATCCCCCGAAAGTTGACCCTTTCCTCTCCTAGCCATAAGTCCATTGGTAAAAAAGAGAAGAATATGACCCCAAATCATGCCAACAACAACAATGGCAGTATAAGTAAGCCCACATTCCCCACGGTCAATAGTATTGGCACCCACAACGTGCGAAATAGCACCACGGCCCACACTGATAACCAACGCCCAAACAATGCCACCCTCAAGAGTACAAGTGACAATAGTCAGAACTCGACCACCAACAACTCAGGGCATTCACAGTATGGCACGCTAATAAATTTTGATCGGATATACGGTACAAGTCTGCTGGGAACTAACCCACAAAGCAGTACATTCGAAACCCTTACAAGGACACCACTAGTACCTAACAATAGGTGGAATAATAGACCATGGTCTTCACAAGGTCCCAATCATTTTTATCCCCTGCGTCCCTGTCAGCGTTGAAAAAACAGCTGGTAGGGATGCTAACACTCCTAAACCACTAGTGCTGGCTCCCCCTTTGCATGAATGTAGGAACAGTCTAGCTCATCCGCATCCACTAAGCACACTTGGTAAATGCACAAGTTTAGGTCAAATTAAGATCCCTACCCCCGTTTCTAGCTTTACTAAAAATAAAAATGCCTTAGCCTATAGCACATCCAGTACTCCAACGCTCAATTCTTCACCGAAAACAGCACACACCAACTCGATAGACATAGGTGAACATGATGCTGAAACTCCTCTCAACATAGGGTCGTCATGTCAAACAGTACTACTGGGTGCTGAACCACATTCGGGGCTGATTGACGAACTTAAGTACTTCAAATGCTATTTCAAATCTCATCTTTACCTAATCCTCATAAATGCTAGATCCGTTCTAAATAAACTACCGATGCTCAGAGCACTCACAGTAATATACAAACCCCCTATAATTGTCATCACTGAATCCTGGTGTAACTCGAACATACTGGATGAAGAGATAAGCTTGGATAACTATACACACTTTCGGTGTGACAGGGAAGGTGGTAAGGGAGGGGGTTGTCTTATGTACTTTCTGAATGCACTTACTGTATCAGCTAGAAAGTAGTACACTTAACATGCCTGAGACTTTATGGGTTAACTTACACTTAAATAACGCAATAGTATTAATTGGATGCACCTATAGAGCACCTGGCACCTTTAGTAATTACGAGACCCAACTTATTAATACTCTAGAACAATTATCCACCCTCCACTACGATCATAAGATCCTATGTGGAGACTTTAACTTACCAGAAATCAACTGGGAAATACCCACAGGTCCAACTAAACTTGATAAGTTCTTAGGCACACTGGATATACTTGGCTGGAAGCAGACCGTCACAACCCCTACAAGAGGTAATAACGTACTAGACTTAATCTTCTGCCACAATATAAGTCCCCTTTCTACCCTAGTAGGTTCTGAGTTTTCAGGGAGTGACCACAAAACAGTGCTGT